CGCGTTTATTGTTGCCCATTTACCGTACCTTAAATAGCTTTATTATTCATTCAAAATATTTCCCCAATTCTGATTGGCTAAAAGCACAAGCATAATTCACCATAACCAGTTACTGGTGACCAAATTTGGAAGAATTCTGTGTTTAACGAGGAAATGACGTCAAAAATGCAGTTCGCTACGGGTTAAGGCACCGTTACCGAGAAGACCTGGGGTCGAGGTTGAGTTGTTTTGGTTGTGAAAAAAAAATGGCGGATATTTCACTCGTTTCAGGAGTAAGAACTGCAGCTGGAACTAGGCGAAATTATAGCTGAAAACATGGAATAAATAGCAAGAAGACAACTCGGAGGGCGACATCTGCTATTTGGAGAATATTTGTGGAGCTGGACAAACCTAAACGTACCTATCGAAAATGAACTTGACATCGATGCAGGTAAGCATGTTTTAGCTATTTTTTTAAACTAGGAATTATTTTGAAAGAATAATAAAGCAATTAATGAATTCTGCTTTCGTAGGATATGACTCAAGAATTAAGCAGATCCTACTCAGCCTCATTCATTAATTGCTAATTAACCGTAACGCGACCGAGGAAATGAACAAATATTTGTCAGCTGTCAAGTTAAATACTTAAATTTGTTCATTGTTTGATAAGAACAAACCTATTCAACTTACTAATTTTTATAAACTTGACGTTTCGTATGCTACTCAACATACATTTTCCAAAGTACCAACTCCATTTTGAAAACTATACTTATATAATAGTGAAAAGGGACTGAATATGGTTATCACCGCTGTTTGTGTTCTATTTCTTATCAAACCACGATGACCCAAGAACAAAAGTTCATTGTTATATTTTTCGTCGCCTATAAGCCGGTTTTGTGAATTCCTCTTAAGTGTGTCTGATTCATAAGCAACGAAGGTGAGAATAGCAGTATGTTGTATGGATTGATGGGCTTTCAATGTTTTCCTATACTTGCGCTATATAAACTGAAATTTAGGAATCTTTTAGGGGAATGCAGTTTAGTCTTAGGTGCCCTCCAAGCTATAAACTTGATCTATATTACTATTTCATCTGCTGTCCCAGCGTGAAACAAAAGTTTTATTGGAAAAATACTACAAAAGAGCCTCCGTTTTTTCCACTTTATATTCAGCAATCATGAGATAAGTCAGCTGATTCAGTTTTATTGATAGTTTCCCTGACAAGCCAATACAATCACGTGACAAAATCTCTAGCTCCCATCTCACTATTCTTGGTTTGCAACCACGTGACAAGGCAGTCATGTTGGGGGTCAAAACAATAGAATTTTTTCTCAAAGAATTTAAATGAAAATTAGAGTTTAGTTCCCAGAGGAGAGAAATGCTTTTGTTCTTGACCACCAACATGGCCGCCGTGACGTCATGTGCAAACCAGCGATTGGCTGGGTCTCGCGACATCAGGTCCCACCAAAGCTATACGACAGCGGATAACGTACTTTAGGTCATACCCTCGTTCTCTCATAGTTTAAACGTCATGTAGCATGCAAGAACTGCACAATAAATTTTTCTTCTACTGGAAACTGACCGGGTGGTCATCCAAGCCACGTCGACGGTGAGCCATTTGAAAAACAAAGACAGTACCATCCTCTAAATGATTTTAAGCCCCCAGCCTCTCGCTGGTTAGCCTCTGAGCACGGATCAGGGCCTGGGAATTGAACCCGCAGTAATTAACCCGACCCCGCTCTGCAAACCTTTAACCCCTTTCTCCCCAGACCCCTCTCATATTCCAAGAAAAAATCCGCAGGGACGAAGTTTACAATAGTTTAATACCGCTGCACTGGATCAAGAAATATTGCATGTTTTTTTGCTTTAGAGCTCTTGCGCGCACTCACTTACCTGCCAAGGCAATGGAAACTCCAGCAATTAAGCATACAAACGTCAAGAAAATTCTACCCATGACTGTAGGCAATAATTCTCCTAAAAAAAGCGGAAAAAGGAAAAGGAGGCGTGAAGACATGGGAAAGTTGTGTGATAGCTTAACAATGCGTTTTATTTCAAACTACTGCATTTAGAATTGCAGAACGGGTGAATAAATGCCTAGAAAGTAATCCAGACAAGAGGGTCTCAATGGGGTGGTGGCGTTTACGGTTATCGGCTAAAATTTTAGCTCTTTTACGGCTATCGGTTAATTTCTTTCAGTTACGGTTAACGAAAAAGTTAAAAATTAACTGCTTTTGTTTCAAAAAGTTAAAAATTAATTAACCTGTATTTTTTTGTATTTTTAAATCAAAATAAAGGTCTTCCGATCATCTCGGGATGAAATAAGCTATTCTTTTGAAAAATTTTCACATTTGATAGATCATACTTTTAATAAAGTATTCCACTTCTAATATTATTTACACATAGAAATGTCAATAGTCAATTTAAAAATGATCTTTGTGAAAAAGCAAAAGCAGACAAGCGAGCGCCCAACTCAAGGCCGGGGCGACATTCATTATAACAGAAATGGCCGTTTTCACACTAGAGAAGGATTATTCGTGTGAGACGGGCTATTTGTTTGATGATTCACGTCAGATAGGTAATGTGCGTCTTAATTTGAAAATGGAATAGTTTTAATTTTGAGTGAACAATCCGCCTGACTTTTGAAGACGGGATTATCCGTTCCAGGTTGCCTGTGTACAGCCGCCCCCTCCCCTCAGAAAAAAAAGCGGAGAAGGGGTGTCTGTGGGGAGGGCGCGACTGTACACAGGCTAGTCTCCGACGGATGATCCATTTCTGGCTCTAGTGTGAAAACGGCCAAAAACAAAATTCCCGTGTCCAGTGTTTTTAAGGATAGCGAATCACTGTACGGAACGACTGTCTGCCGTTGCCTTGTCCGTAGGCCGCATTATTCCGCGCTGCTAATGCGTTTCGGGTCACGTGGTCCGAGTGAGTTCCCCACCGAAATGCCTTGGCCGAGACTGCGTGGGAAGACGCCGTACAGGGACTAGGCATAGCAATGTCTACCTTAGCGTCAGAGAAAAATAGGGAAATGTTGTTTATCGGCAACGTGCTTTACAAACAGTGACGACTCTGCGTGCTGTTTCACTAGTGTTTCGAGGGCACGACCTCCCGAAAATTGCAAATATTAATCCCCAGCAAGAAGCCACACTTTCGCTATGGAAAAAATTAGTTCCCCGATAGAGCGCCGGAAATGGAGCCTAGGTCTTGGTTAACGCCTGAAAGGCGCTTCGCCTTACGTGCGTACGGAGTCACACTAGCCGGGAAATAAAAAACACAACCATAAGTGAGTTTAGTACCTTCCTTAAAAGTAGCAAATCTGAGGAACACTTTCTTTTACGGTTAACTCTTTTTTACCCTATTTACGGCTAACGGTTAAAATTTTTCAATTTTTACGGCTATCGGCTAAATTTTTGGCCGTTTTACGCCTATCGGTTAACCCCATTGAGACCCTCAGACAAGAACATTAGTTTGACACGTAAAACTGTCGAATAAAAGCAAAGTGTTTCTTATTAAAACCCACCGAGGATAATACACAAAAAATTATAAATGTGTTTCTTTGCGGCTAAACGGAAAGGCTTTCCAGTGTTGCGTAATCAGAGTAAATGCCAGTTAGTGAAACTGTAGTAAGAGGGCCTTGAATCAGTCTTGTATTATAAACCGCTGGTTCGGCTATTCTTAAGGGTTTTCAACACCTCCCCGCTAATGCTGTTAGTAAGCAACCACGTGACTATTCAATTTTTTTATGCTCAGTGTCCTCGGTGTTTGTTTTTTTATCCGAAAATTTATCTTTCTTTATCCGCTGCATCCATCCCATCGTCTCATAATACAAGTGCAAATTATAGGAACCAAATTCAAGATTGTGATATTAAGATGGAAAATTCAAACAACTTACGAGTAAGGTCTGCATGACAGGCACACATAAAGAAGAAATAATCTGGAACATCTTGTACAGATTAAAATAACAACAAAGAGATAGCGCGGAGGCTTGAGAATAATTTATCTTAGAGTTGTTGATGATGTTGTTTTCTCAGCAGACAAAATCGCTTGAATTGGAACCATAGAATTCCAAACAAAAAAAATATCCTGCTAGATTCTTTGTTCATTTAAGAACATAGCATGGACGACTGCGCAAAAATACTGGATGGATAAAAGAGATTTATTTCTGATTTTAAAAACAAGGCATGGCCAATATACAAGGAATGTGTCTCTTTACGGCTACTCCGCCGAAAGGCTGTTGAACATTACGTAATCAGTACATGCACTGAGTTAGTTAAAAATGTCAGTAGTACGGAGACCCTGAGTTAGTCAGTCTTA